CAATTCTGCTGTACCATGCAGCGAACTTGGTGACACGTGGCAGCTCCCTGCTAGTTTGCTGCATGGGCCAGCGAACTACCTGCCGACAGTTACAGTTCGCTGGCCCTTATAGCAAACTTGTTGCTATTTATACCCGCCCCCTCTTCCCACTTGCAATGTATTCTTCTGGTGCGATTGTTGCTAAAAGAAACCAAAGTTTTTTTTTCTACTTCTGTCTAATTTCACAACAAAATGAGTGAAAGTATGAATGATATAATCGCAATTTTATATTACAATGGTAGGAGATATTTTGGACCAAATGGTCAAGTGTTAGAAGGAGATACGAAGACGTTCCGCATGAGCGCCCGTTGCAAATATAATGACCTGAAGAAAATAATATACAAGAAGTTGAGATTACAACGTGGTCAGTCCCTCTCTCGACTGATTGCTAGATGCACCTCCGGTAACCCGGTGCAGTGGATTTCTGTGGAGGTTGTGGAGGATGAAGATATCTCGTTAGTAGTTGACGCATTTCGACAGCATGGACAATCGTCATAAATCGAGTTTTATGCAGAACTAAACACTGGTGGAGAGGCAAGCACTTAAATCTCCGTCCCTACCAATTACGACATAGACATTAACCGGGAGCCGCTAGATAGTGTGGAAGATATGCATGTTTCACCACCCTGCCACCCTCACCAACACTAACAATGCCTTCAGATGTGATTACTGCCCATGACATGTATGATCCCTCGTGGCGTACTGATAGTTTCGAGGAAGAGGTTGATGAAGGTCTTGTTCCTGATAGTCAGTCATCGGATACAGACGTTGATGGTGATTTCAAAAGGGATCCGTCCAGTGCATTATGTCAACTGATTCCATCACCAGGCATTGTTGGAACGCATGACCCACTACCAGTGGCAGGTGAGTGATTTGTAAGGTGATTTTTAATTTAATTAAAATGGTATTAGTAATGACATGTGTTCGGCTTATACAGGGGAGGATACTATATAGTTTTGGTCACAAATAAGCCATTAAATGAATATTAACTGGGCACACCCAGATCAGGAGTGTGACAAAATGTAAGGTGCACAAATACCAAACTGGTAGATGGGTCAAGAGCTGTATATGGACCAGGTGTTTGAAAGCAAGTAGGATGTACAGATGGCAATAAAACAATATCGTATGGCTGAACATCACACAACCATCGTGGAAAAAGTGATACGAAAAGGCTGATAATGGTTTGTCAACAACACAATGAAGGTTGTCCATGGAGGATGAGGGCATATAAAAAAAAGGCGGTACTGGATGGTTTATAGGCATATGGAACAACACCCACACATGTGTTAGTCATTCACTTTCTCAAGATCACAAACAACTTGACTCAAATTTCATTTGTTCATTGATCATCGGTAAGTCAACTAGCCTCTGTGTTTATAAGGTAAATACTGCGTAATGGTTAATGCCTTCTTCTTTCACAAAACGCAGAAATGATACGGGAAGAGCCAAGTGTTAAAATTAGTCTAATCCAGGAAAGGATTGCATCAAGTCTAGGATTTCATATCTCATACAGAAAGGCATGGAAAGCAAAGCAAAAGACTATTGTCGGGGTTTTTGGGGATTGGGAGGAGTCGTACGCATTTCTTCCGAGATGGTTAGATTATACGTTGTTGTTTTCTCCAAGTTCTGCTTATAAGCTTGACGTGAATGATCATAGGATTGACGGTCGTCTCAATGGTTCGCACAAGGTTTTCAGAAGGGTATTTTGGTCATTCAAGCAGTGTTGTGATGCTTTTAATTATTGCAAGCCTATGCTCCAGATCGATGGGACACACTTGTAAGGGAAATATCGTGGAACGCTATTGATTGCTCCAAAAAATTTATATTTTATCAAAATTTATGAAACATACAACATGTAATGTGGATGTTATACAGTCTACGTCTCACTAACCTCATGGTTGCGCAGCCGCGCAACGTGATAAAACCCAGCCTGCCTAAAGTACGGCAGGATATCCTCTGGTATATCCAAGTGATCGTGTGTCGCACCGTGTCTGACATTTAGGATTTTAATGGATTGTTTTTGGACAAAAAAATCTGTTGGTATTCGATTAGGATTTTAATGGATTGAAAAAAAGTCACGTGGTATTCGATTAGGATTTTAAAGGATTATTTTAGAATCCGTCCAAATCTGTTGGTATTCAATCAAGATTTTAAACAATGGAATCACAATCTCGTGGTATTCAAAAATCTGACGATTTTAATGGATTTTCTATTGGTGTGAATTTCGTGAGACTTTTATGTGAAAATATAAATAGGGTGCCTCTCTCACAATCTCACCCCAACCCCTAGAATTTCTTGAGATTCTTCTATTGCAGTGTTTTCTTCTTCCTTTGGTAGGTTGACTGCTCGAAATTGGGTTCCGCCATTGGAGCTTTGTCAAAACTAAAAAAAATAGCATATTTTTGAGCGATTTTCATCACAAAATAACCCAGAAACAACAAACCAACGAGATTTTAATATAATCTATCTAAAAAATAACATATTTTTGAGCAATTTTTGAGAAATTTTGGAAGTTTAAAAAATTATTTTTCAAGCTATGGTCGCAGTTTTTCTTGGCACAAAAATGTGCTTTTTATATTAAAAACAACATAAAACAGTGAAAAAATAATAGTGAAACTTTCGTATTATTTTCATTTTACATCAATGAAACAATATCAATATAAGAAAGATTAAAACTTTCATAATATGAACCTTATATTTCGTAACAATACATTCATGAACAAAATTCTTTCACTATAGGAAACGATTTCAAACAATTTTTGTGTCAATAGATAACTACAAGCTTATTTCTCAAAAGCCCCAAAGCATTTAAGGTTTCAATGTATCGATTGAAAAAAATTTGAGAAATTTTCTAAACTTTCATGTAATTAAACCTAAAATTTCAGATTCAATGAAAATATGCATATGATATATGGTTAGAAAATTTCAAAAACACCAAGGTTTTCAAGATCAATTGCAAAAATTTTCAAACGAATTTTTATCATGAACTTTAGGTTCTATATGCAAATTTAGAATTTTTTTATAATTAAAAAAATTGGATCTTATAATCATATATGCATAGCTTTGATACGAAATGAAGAAGATGATTTTTAACCCATTAGATATGTGAAAAACTGTTGTTTAGTAATTTTGGATGTTTGTTAAAAATTATATTAATGTTTGAGGCATGATATACTTACCACCGAAATTTTTTACCACCTTTACAATCAACCTAATCACCATTGATTTTCTTCAATCTAACGGTTATAATTTATTGGGAATTATTTCCAATAAATTATAACCGTTAGATTGACGGAAATCAATGGTGATTAAGTTAGTTGTAAATGTTGTAAACTTTTTTGTGGTAAATATATCCTTCCCCATTATGTTTTACTAATTGAGAAAATTATATTTGATTTTACTTTTTTTATTAATTTCATTGTATTTCTTTGTTATTTTTTTATGGGAAAGATTATACTTACCACCTATTTTTGTCTACAACTTTTTACAACCATATCTTAATCGTTGTTTTCTGTCAATCAATGATTATTATTTTTGCAAATCAAACTTATTAATTAATATTTAATTTGCAATAAATGATAACCGTTGATTGACAGAAATCAAAGGTTAAGATATGGTTGTAAAATGTTGTAAACAAAGATAAGTTGTAAATATAACATTTCCCTTTTGTATTGACTCTTGTAATTTTGAATGTTTGTTAAAAATTCATATGATTTTTTAAAATCTTATAAATCCATATTGTCCTTTCAAATCTTATGAATTCTATTAAAATCCTTTAAAATTCAATCCTGTGAAATCTTGATTGTAAAAAAAGTCTTTTAAAAAAGTCTATAAAGTCTCTTCAATTCTAAAATGTTATTTAAAATCTGTAGGATTTTTTATCTCAAAAAAGTCTTTTAAAATCCTAATCCAATACACCCCCCTTAAATATGACAAATTTAATTTCTTAGATCAAACACTACAAATTACAAAAATTGAGTAAACAAACTAAATTATATATTTTTTAAAAGGAAAAATATTTGTCCTTTTAAAGGATGTTAATTTTGATTAAAACTAATATTTTCTATTTGAAAATTAAATTAAAAAAAAACTACACACTTTCTTCCCTATAATTTATATTTTGTATCTCTTTTTCTCAAATAATACAATTCTATGTATTTGAAATCACAAACACCAAACTTTTTTCTAAATTATACATGTTATAAGAAATGCGAGTGAGTTGAGAAGGAAAAGTGTGGAATGGCTCACATGGTTGAGATTTGGCGCGTTTGGTACGCGTTATATTACTAAATCCACGAAAAAATATGGTAGGGGAAAATACTTTCCAACGTTTGGTAGCTCAAATTGCAAAACTTCCTAGACCAAATTTGTTTCCAGAAAAATGTTTTTGTGTGAAAACGCACGGTCTGACAAATGAAAAATCTAAAAAATATGTGAAATTGTTGACTGCCCGCGGGGAAGTCAGAATTAAAACGCGAAAATGTGACAAAATTGACCTTCAATTCGTACGATTTGTAAATATGTGGCAAAAGGTAAAAGTGAAGGGTTATTTTGGTAAAATAATCTCATATTCTCATTAATATTTCATAACCAACCAAACACAAACATCAGTACGCTATATTTATGGGTCTACTAAACAACTTTTTTTGTAACATTTCAGTAAAATATATTTTTCACTATATTCTGATAATAATTATTTTTTGAATAATTTTTTTTTTTCCTATATCATATGCCCAGTTAAGGACAAAAGCAAATTCAAAAATAGAAAAGAAGGTTGATAGGGATGTGAAGATAATGAAAGTGTCTAGTGATGACGGGGAAGGTTAATAGAGAGGGCGTGAGGGTCCACGGAAACAGATAAGAAACGGAGTGGACGCTGTACGCTACTCTTCCTCCAATTCCAATCCATCACATTCACAATCACAATAACAATCACATTGTGTACTGTAAATTGTGATACTCATATTCTCTCTCTCTCTCTCTCTTCCAATGCTGTCATCGTCATACTCTAACTGTCTCAATCCTTCAAACCCCCATTTTCTTCTTCTTCTTCTTCTTCTTCTTCCTAATTACAATTAAATAAACCCCAACCTTTATTCTCACTCACTCACTCACTGTCACCCAAAGTACAATTGTGTACACAACACAACACAACACAATACAAGAAAATTAGTACACAATTCCAAATGGATCCTCCTCTCATCAACGATTCCACATTCTCTCCTGCTTACCCTCTCGCCGAGATTTGGCCTGCTGGATTGGTTCATTTGCCTTCCAATTTCATCCTCCCTGATGCCTCCGCCGACGAGTCCACCGTCACCGATCATAGTGGCGCCGCCGCCGCTAACCGAAATCAGAGGAAGAGAAAGAAGGAAACCGCCTCCGAAGACGACTGCTCCAAGATGGTTTCCACCAGCTCTGCTAATGACTTGGTTTGCCTTTATCTTCTCTCTCTCTAGTAATTTGATTTTGGAAAGTGGGGATTCAAAGTTGTGTGAACTGTGGGGGTGTACTTTTTGAATCCGTTTATTGTTTCGTGAATTCGAATTGTTAAGACTTGTGTGTTGTGAAGCTGAGTACTGATGATGACATGTGTGTTAAAACTTTGAACAGAATGATTCTGGCGATGAACGGATAAAATTAGGAGGATACACTGTTGAAAATGATTGTTTGAAAGCTGAAGCGGAAGAAAGTTCAGCGGTGGGTAACAAGTCATCTGAACAGGTTACTAAATCTTCCGAGCCACCTAAGCAAGACTATATTCATGTGAGAGCAAGAAGGGGTCAAGCTACTGATAGCCACAGTCTAGCAGAGAGAGTAATTCACTTCTCTCTATCTCTTATTGTTTTTATTTATTTTATTTTCCATATCTTATAAGTTTTAAGATTTCCTTCTTGTTAGACGTTTTTCTTGATCTAGAGACAAATTTAAAGTATCGAAATTTTTAGAACTCCACCCTATTTACTATTAATTCAGGGGCATGTCACTTAACGATACCTGTTTTGGCAGGCAAGAAGAGAAAAGATCAGTGAGAGGATGAAAATTCTTCAGGATTTGGTCCCAGGATGTAACAAGGTAAACATAATATTCTGTTAGATCAGTGCAAGATTGTTGCTTTTTGTTTTTTTCCTTTATCAATCTTTTTTTTTCTGTCCAGGTAATTGGTAAGGCACTTGTCCTGGATGAGATAATCAATTATATCCAGTCACTGCAGCATCAGGTTGAGGTAGATATCTTCATCTTTCTATCTCTATTGAGTATTTCCGCTCAATGAAATATATATATTCTCCAACCAATGAATCTAATTCTGTACAAAACAACTTGAGTTTTGTAGTTTCTTTCTATGAAGCTTGAAGCAGTTAATTCAAGAGTGAACATGAACCCTGCTATTGAAGGGTTTCCTTCAAAAGATGTAAGTCTATCAACTTTAATATGTAATCATATTGACTTGTAATATTGAATCCATTCCCATTTACATACTTAAGATTTAAATGTTATGTGAAATTGTATAAGCTGGATGCAGTCATTTTTTCGGACTACCACAGAAGAAAGTTAGTCTAGTGCTTTGTCTGGAAAATCGTTGACTAAAGTTATTTGTTTTACAGCAAATTATTCTGCTTGACTTCTTTTATTTGAAAAAACTAATAGAACAAAGTGATCTGTAATTTGAGAATTCAATGTGATATGGAGCAAGTAGGGAAAGGGAAGAAAAGAGAGAAATTGAGTGAGAAAGAGGAATATCAGTATGGAGCAGGGAGAGGAATAGATCAGAAAGGGAGAAACAGAATAGTGATGTTCAATTCATTCTCAAGTTCAAGTTTCAATATCCAGAACTTGGTACCCAACAATCCATAAATTGGCAAAACCAGTTCAATTACCAAGCAATCTAATGGCTCAAGTATCATCACATTTCTTCAAAATAACTAAAGGCTTATCAGTAGAAAGGAAGGATTCAATTAATGTATACTCTCCCTGGATTTGTCTCTGATGTAACATCCATTTTAGGTGCAACAACATCCTGTAAGTCATCCATAATGGAGCAAACAATGGTTGATTAAGCTTTCATCTGCTTCATCTAATTATAAATCATCTGAAATTCAGATCATGACCACTTTGGCGTATACCAAATCAGCTCAATTACAAATTTGATTTGAACATATTTGGAGGGAATGTGACCATAATGTCCGTGAGATTTAGAGTTCAGTTCAACTTTTCATTGTGATCATATGAATCATAGGAATAAGAATCATGATAGTAGTTATCGGTGTAGCAAGCATGATCATGAGTTAAAAGCAGTGGAAACTAGAGACGTTTGACCTCATATAATTATGGTAAGAAGGCTGGTAGCTTGATTTCAAATTTGTGTTATCGTAATGGTTGTAACATCTTGAAACTTTATTTCCATAATATTCATTTTGTCCGGCACTTTAATATGGATAGGTTATGAGATACAAACACTTTAGGAATCCAAAATAGCTGGAAACCATCCGAATTAATGTTCATAAAATTGAAAACCCTCAAAATATGCACAAGGAAGGTTCAAGCAGTGGAAGTAACCGTGCATTTTATTTGGGGAGGTCCAAAAACCCTGGAAATGGATTGCTGAAAGGTGTAGTCACTACCTTAAATTCACCAAGCCGTTGTGGGGGTTGTGCCCTCGAGGTTGCCCAGGAAGGGACTTACTTGACACGAAAGATAGCCCAGCAGTACTCTTATCATATAACCAAATTATATAGAGAGAGAGACACACTAGTCCAAACACAATACTCTGTGGAGAATGACTTCTTGTGATACAGATTGTAACCTAGCAAGTTGAATCCTAGCACTATCCTAATAAACCGTACCGTTTTAAAACGGTTGCAGTGTTTATCTCAGATGAATATTGTCAAACGGAACTATATTTTCTTCTCAGTAATTTACCAAATTACCTAGACTTAAAACATTTTTCTAATGAATTGCAACTGTGGAACTGTTCGTTCTCATAATATCATGATTTTAACCAGTTAATCTATTGCTTCAGGTTGGTACTCAGCCATTTGACGTTGCTGGAATGATATTTGGATCACAAGCGGCAAGGGAGTATTCTCAGGGATCTCATCCTGGATGGCTGCATATGCAGATAGGTGGTGGTTTTGAGAGAGCCACATAGTTCAAGGAAGTGTCATTGGGAATGACAAATCAGTCAGTGGGGTTGGTTATATAGTTTTCTCTATTAACAATCTAGTCAGTTGCTACAGAATGTTGTAGGTTTATATGTCCATTGTTATAGATGATATAATTTATAGGATGTGCATCATCTAACTATGCATGTGCTTTGCTATATTAGCAATTAGCAACTAGAAACAATCATAGTGTGGTTTTCGTTTTTAAACTTTGTTATGATAGGATTCATCTCTCTCCTGATTTGTTTTGTATAACAATATGTGTAGCAGGTATGTATTTGTATTTTACAAGTGGAGACAGTTTGAAAATTATATATTTAATATGTGTAGCAGGTATGTATTTGTATTTTAAAAGTGGAGACAGTTTGAAAATTATATATTTAAATTTGAAAATTTGAGTCATTGACAGAAACAAATTCAGAGAACGCCAATGTGTCTTGAAACCCTAGACTGTCAATCTGATGGACCCTTGCATCTTATGCAGTCATGGTCGATAAACAATGACCCACAAACCTATATATTTTGTTTATAATGACTTTTCACACTTTCATTAATTACATATCTGCCCCTTCACGCCTCAGGAATTTTATGTAGAGCATGCTCCTGATACTTGACCCTCAATATGGTGATTGTGGAATTTACCCGTAATAAAACAACAATAGCAATATTTATGAAGCGAATTGTACTTTTAGGACCTGCTCAGAGACTAAAATAACAATTATAGTTGTTTTAGGCTACAATCTTGGATCTCGTCAGCCTGGCTCATTAACATGCATAATTGGCGCAAGAGGGTCACGGGATCCACAGAATTAGATGCCGTCCCATTCTGATGCTGACACAGCTTTTGGATTAGTTTATGAGAATAATGTTTCTCAGCACGACAAAATTTTTATCTTCTATACATATAAAAGTGTGAGATTCATATTTTTTTTTTCTTTACCTTCGTTTTATATGTCCCTATATGGATCTCACGCACTTTAATGTGTGTGAGGGAGATAAAATTATCTCCTATAACATAAAAAAACATTAATCCCCTTAGTTTATTGTACGACTAATAATTTAAATTAAAATTTTGTTGAAAAAAGTCTTGAACAAAAAATAACAATTCCCTGATATTTAAGCTTAAACTAAAACATGCATTAATGTCCCAACTTGTTCTCTGCATGATGAGGAAAGAAAGGATAAATTCCCTCCCCTGATACCAATCAATCCATAACAATAACGAACATATCTGTGATGGAACTGTTCAGGCAATCACCGCACACTGTGAATTAATGGTTAACCACTTTGGTGTTGGAATGTCTTTGAAGAATAATAATGACAATAATAATGTACTATGATGTTGAATTTTTCAATAAGTCAATTGTTTTGAAGGAGATAGAGATATTGATAATAATTGGCAACGATGGAACACTTGATTTTGTTAGCCTTTGATGTATCGTATAACGGTATAAGTATCTCAACTACTAACGATTAAAGTGTTTAGTCAATATTTCGGGAGTCTGAACGTGATTTATACAGCTAAATTTTACTAACGTGAGTTTTAAGATCAATTATTATACTAGTAAAAAAAAGCCATTACTATAAAATCATTTTTTTGTCAACACTTATGAAACCACCATTATGAATGATGCAGCAAAATCCTGATTTCAAGCCTTATTCGAGTAACATAAGCGTCGTAATAGCAATTAAATGGAGCTGCTTGGATTGTTTTCAACTATCAGTTCATATAGTAATTATAATTGCACTACTTATAATTTACAAACTAGTAATAATACCCCAAGAAGTTAAAACCTACTTGCCCAAAAAGTGTGGAGTGGTTTACCTGTGATCTTTTATTTAAGAGTTTAATAAATTTAATGTTTCTTGTAAGAGAGAAACTTATTTGTTAAACAAGTATAGAAGTATGTGAGACCCATATACCATATGAAATCATGTAAAAAGAAGAAAAAAATAAAAATAAATATGAACTCTACACAATAGTATCTGAATGTAATCTGTAGCTCACGGCCTTGATTTCGATTCAATGAGTTGAGGTAATGAGCACGAGTCAAGCAAATTAAAATATCTACCTCCCACATAAACAGAAGAAAAAAGAATGTTCCATAGATACTTCTTCGAGACAAAGTTTCCCATTTCGGTTTGTATAACTTATCACTGCATATTTTAATCAAAGAATAACATTAAGTTTAAAAGTACCTTTTCCAAACATAATCGGAGTATGAATCAGGTAATACTCGTCTCATTTGCTAATGAGTTGTTAAAAGCAGCTCCCATCAAGATCAATTTTCCCACATAATAAAGTAGACATCAAAACTAATTCTTAAACGGTCCACATTTTTTGCACACACGTCAATCTATACGGGCTTTTGACTAGGCTGTGGTGCATGGGTTAGTTCGGGTTGGATTTTTATGTCGACTCAACCAAACTTGATTTTATAGGTCAGGTATTTTGACCCGACCTAGTTTAATTTGATCCAAGTCAGGTTTGATTTGATTTAAATTTTTTTTGAACTGGATCAGATCAGACCTGATTTGATTTCTAAAATAGATCTGACTTGGTTTCAAAATCGGGTCAAATTCGACCTGATCCACTTTTGACTTGGTTTCAAAACTTGTTTTTTATTTAAATTTTTTATAATTATTGATTTAATTTTTAAACTCATGTAATTTTATTATTTATTTTTTTTAAAATATATAAAGTATATAATAAAATTGATATTTGTTGAATAAATACCAATTCTTAAAAAAAAGTGCTAATATTACTATTCCATGATACTAATCAGTGTCATGGGTAGCTCATTCTAACTTATAATTGATACTTGCAATTAGCACTTACCAATTATCATGATTTGATCCAACCAAAAAGTTCCAAATTAATGACAAATTAAAAAAAAAACAATCCAAACATAAAATTATCCCATAAAATAAAATAAAAAATCAAAAACAGAGATAATTCAATGATTAATTAAAGTATGAAAAAAGGAATCCAATGATCCTAAAAACAAATTGTTGAGTAACGGTGTCTTCAACTTATAACCCATATTTTGATAAATATGATGAGTAATAAATAAAAATTAATAAATAAATAAAGATGAGTCAACCCAGAGATAGTTCTTGAGCATATTGCAGCAGGCTATAATTACCGCATTTTTCCATACGTTTTCTTAACGAGAAGTGGTCATCCACAAATTGCAACATAATGAGCGTCTGGTTCACTCTCTAGTTCACAAAACTTTTACGACACTAAAAAAAGAAATCCCCAATTGCAAACTTCAACCCAAATTTTAAGAACCCTAACATTGCAATTTCAATGAATTTTAAGTGAATGAGAGAGAGAAATTGGGAGATGAGAGAACCCTCAACTCCCAAATTGATTTTTTTTTTTTTTCACGTAATAGTTATGAGTCAAGTTTTGAGTCATTAGATCAATTATTAAAATAAGTCAGGTTTAAAACTGACCCAAATAAAAATGGATCAATAATTAAATCTAGTTCAAAAAAATAGATATTTATGAATTAAATCAATATCAGATACTGAACCAGTTTTTTTGAGCATCCCTACTTTTGACTCTCTGTTCCCTTCCATCACAGGACTAATTTTTATTGCTTGGTACATATCATAGGACTAAATTTGACCACGCAGGAGGACACAAAATTCGAAGCTTTGAAACCTGAAACATACTTAGGAAATTTCGCTAGCACAATAACCTGAGGGCAAAAGCAAACAAAAATAAGCACGATAACAACACCTACACTAAATTAGCCATGCATGAAGTTAAAGCTCGTGTGCTTTAAAAAAGTTGAGTTCAAACTTCACAGTTCAAACATTACAGAAAGAATACTGAATTAAGATGAATGACCAAAAAGTATTGAAACTTCCACTCGGTCAACAATGGATGCAATCATTCATGGCAGTTCAGTATCACTTGATGAATTGGTTCCCCTTGTTACACAAAACCCCAGATCCAAATCCTTTAGTGCCGTACACTTGAGGAATCACAACACTTGATTGAAGATACAGTATTGAAAATGTTCAGGTTCAGCTTTGATGTCCAGTGTTAGAGATCGATTCTGGAAATGTTCACTTGGGTTAAAATGACAAAAAAGGAACCCAATAACACAGAAAAAACGAAAGGTGATGTTATCCAATGCTCTTAGGGTTTAGGGTTTAGGGATTTGGTTAAGAAGCATTTAATACTCTTCGTTAACAATATTATTTAGTAAATAAAGTCTCCTAATTACTTAAGGAAGTAAATATTAAAGACTAGATTCCCAAGATATTAAATATTGCTACTTTTTCATTTAATACTTTCTATTTTATTTTTTAAACCAGGGTCTGAGGTCATTCATTAACAAATGCCAAAAAAAACAAAGAGTTTGTTCAGTGATACCTGTCTAAGGCAGCAGTACTGATAGGAATCACACCTGCTGGAGACACAAGAGCATCAACTGGAATATCAGATGAAGTAATTGGTATTACTCCTTCATCCAGTATTTGTTCGGAATATGACAAAGCAACTGCAAATCCAAAGCCAAATTGCTTGTTTGTGATAAACCACATAGGTTTGATTCAACCATAATTTTGTAATCCAAAAAGGAAGAAATGCATACCAAGTAAGGGTTGCTTCCAGTTCCGTGTCTTTGCAAGGTCTTGGTAATTCTTCAGGAAGGTATCATAGTAACTGCGGAAGGGGGTATATTTAACTGCTAACAAACATTGGATAATAATAATAATAATAATAATAATAATAATAATAACAAACATTGTGAATTCTCACTATTCTAACAACCATTCAAGTCAACTCACCAAGCACAATTTTCCATAGTTGGTAAGATAAGACAAGGCTAAAATTATTAATTCTAGTATTCTACGAAGATATTTTGTATACAGCATAAGAGACAGAGTTGTGTTGTTAAGACAGAAGAAATAAATATTAAAGTATACCCTCCACCACGGCCTAAACGCCTTCCAGATCTGTCAAATGCCAGTCCTGGGAAGAGAAATAATAAAAAGTGATTAGCTATATTCAAGCTTAGACATTAATAATTAAATATGAAATTAGAAGATTACCAGGTAAAAGGAACAAATCAACTGGATCATTCGCCTGCATAACTGCACCAAAGAGATCTTTCAGATGGTTGTTGATATTGGCCAATCACGATAATTAGAAAATACATCTGATGGAAGTCAACCCTACAAGAATCAGAAAAACTAAATTATATGCACAAAAGTAGCCAAGACAGGGGGAAGGATGTACATTACTTGTACCTGGTCCTGTGGAAACGGCTTTGTAAAAATTATGCCATTGTGAGGCTTTGCTTTTTATTTTTCTCTTAAAAAAAAAAAGAACTCACATCTTTTAGCTGAAGAAACCCTGATCAGAATATACAAACTATCTATAAATTTATGTCATCTAGGATGTAGACGGGCTGATTATGTCTTGGTTGAAACAGCTGGATGCTATAGGAACGACAGATTGTTGACAGTGACACCAATCAAAACTAAGAAACTTGATCAGGATTTACATAGAAAGGAAGATGAATTCCAAAATATTAGCTTCACATGCTGTTACAGATTATGGCTTGATAATTGAGTTATTTTGCAAAAGATTTGAACTTAAATTTGGAAGTTAAGCAAATAGTTTTTGCAAGTTGGCTGTGCCTATGAAAGCTACAATGTTCAAGTAGTAAGAAGAGAGAATTTGGAGTAGTAAATGAAAAGAACAAAGCCAACAAACAGAGAGGGCAAGTACCATCTTCACGTGCATTTCCATCAGCATCAACTGGAGCTGGTTCTAAGATGTCCATCGAGTTTGCAACAAGATCATCAATACGCGATATGTTGAGCATACGCATATGACTATTTTTATCCTCCACACGTGGTACATAAATTTTTTTCCCACCTGCATACAAGTCATCTTGTCTTGAGCAAGAAAAATGTATAGATACTCCACTAGAAATAGAAGATTTTATTTTGGAGGCAAGGGTTAAAAAATGGTTGACACTTGACAGGCTTTTAAGAAAAAGCAAATAATTTGTAAAAAAAAAAAAAAATGTATACAAAGCATACCTGCTAAAAATTTACTCTTATTAAGGTATGTTTGGTATGTTGGATTAAACATGGAGGTGAAAAATTCATGCCAAACGAACCCTAAAATTTTTGTTGACATTTGACAATACATAGAACTAAATAAATTTAACAAGGAAATATCATAAGTATCAAAACATATGATTCCTTAAACAACTATCTATCGAGTGTTAACAGAGACTAATATAAAATCAAAATTCTAAGTTGAAAAGTGACAACATACCACTTGCTGGATTTTGCAAAATTTCTGACAATAGTTTGAACGTATCGACTTCTCGTAAAGCACTGCAACTTATATATGCGCATAATCTAAGACTAGATCTGAACCACGGAGATCCCAAAATTATATTTTGAATAGCATTATCTGAAAAATAACAAAAAAAATTAAAATACACAAAAATAAGATTGGATTGTTCATTGTTGATGAGTGAGGAAGCAGTAACAATAATAATAATAATACCTTGTTGAGATCTGAGGGAAGGGTCCATGGCCTTAAGAGCCTTTCTGACCTGAGTTCGAAGCATTCTCTTGTGCTTGAATATGGCATCTTGGTTGCTGCTGTTACTCGTCATCCTCAAAATTTTCACATTAACCAAACCCTTTGTTGCCGCTCTTGCATACATCATCGTCTGGGTTAGCATCTTTTCTTCTCTTTTTTCTATTATTATTATTTTATTAATAAATAAATTTTTTCATTTCTGCATCGTCCCATTTCGTTTTTTATTTTTCACTTTGCAAAAATAGTGGTGGTTATGAATTATGATAAAGAAAGAAAGAAAAAGTTATATTTATAAAAAAATTTATTTATAAATTATATTATATTTCATCGACAACTATAGAGTGAAATTTTATTTGAAAAATAGTGGAGTTTGTATGTTCGTAAAAAAAAATTTGTCAATATAACCGACCATCTTCAAGAAAGAATGCGGGTTTATTAAGGGTTTTTTTTTTATGTAAATAACATTATTTAATTTATAATTCTAAAGTTCTTTAATTTCAATTTTTTATCCATCACAAATTTTTGCGGTTTTGCATTTCGGTCATTGATGGGAAGATAAAAAATGAAGGGGAGAAAAAAAAAGTGAATGGTTGTGAAAAAAATTTTGAAAAATTTCCTTAGAGAATTTGTTTGTGTAATATCAATAATGTAAAACGATAAGAAAGGGAAAGTATGCTTTTACGTGACCAAAAATTTCACACATCACCTAACTTCATAAATACAGGGATGGACTTTTTTTTTATACCTTGAATAGTTTTCTCCATTTTTAATCTTCAGAAATATATTGGATTTGCCCTACAGTCCCAAGTAACATTATTTGTTTTTTATATATAATTCCTGGATGACTTGAATTATGTGCAATTTGAATTTGATTTGTAAAGATGAGTTTTAATGAATATGGTACATTTTGATGGAAAATTTACTGCTATTCTATACAGTTTCGTGAAGCTTCAGAGACAGCAGTAAATAGTTTGTATTTCTTCTATGTGGAAAAAAGAAGTATATAATTTGTCTCCCAAAAAAAAAAAAAGTATATACTAATAAGACAAAAGGAAGTGTAGACAATAGTCATATAAACAATCAAATCCTAGACAAGTTTGTCCAAATGAGCCTAGTGAAGGTTGAAGGCTGGATATGGGGATATTCAAATCCTATTGCAGCACATGCTTTGAGTTTTCAAGTTATTGACCTCTATGTTTAGTTATCTTCATTGTGAGTATAATCATTTGATACCAGTACATTAAGAGTCATTGTCCACCTCAAAGGACGTTATGACAAAGTGGCTGAGCTTCACTAGATTCTGCAATATCAGCACCAAAATTTTGGTTCCTTCACTATTTTTCTCATGTTTCTTAGAAACAAGCTCAAAGTTGGCTTCAAGGGCCTTCACCCTTTCAGTAAGGGAAGATAGTTCTTAACATAGAGAGGCTTCGCTTTCTATTCCTGTTACAATACAAGCATTTGTGAGGAATGGTAATAAACATAATCATTATTATTAGAATACTACACATCCATAGTGAAGGTATGTGTGCTATGTTACCTGTTTCACTGTCTACATCATTAACAATGTCAGGGCTAGATTGTAAGGCATGAATTCCATTTTCTGCAAAGGGTGTTCTATTTTCTATTTTCTTCATTCGACCAAGAAGATATGTTTTCTCAGCTTTGAAATCTTTGGCTGGTTCATTAAGCCTTCCCACTCCATTTTCAGCTTGTGATGAATTGAGACCCTTTTCTCCAATATCCTCCTCACCTTCATTGTTGCCACCATGAGATGAATTAGCTTCCTTAAAAACATATCCTTCTGCTAAGCATCCATATTTGTTTCTGTAAATCTCCAATTCAGCTTCTAAAGCTTTTATATCTTCCTCTTTTTTGACAAGCATATCATTAGTTGCTTGCAGGGCTTCTTCATCATACTCAGCCTGCTCCTCCATCATTCTCTGATACTGTAAAGCTTCCATCTGCATTGCTGCTTTCTCCGCTTGTAACTTTGTGATCATAGCCATTGCATTGTTTGCAGCAACAGCTGAAGCACTTCTTTCTTCATCAAGCTCCATGTACAAAGCCATGAGTGATTTACGGTCCAAACGAACTTGCCTCTTCAAATGGCTTAAGATGGCATCTTCTAAATCATTTTGAACATTTGCCTCATTAGATTCAGAGGCAAATTCTGTTTTTTCAAGTGGTGATTTCCTGTTAATCCTGTAAGACCATCTTGGACTGTTGTTTGCTGAATCTGTTAGTGGGATTCCAAAGAACTTATTGCCCCTTGAAAAAGTTGGGGTTAATTTGGAGGACTCATCGTTTAAATCCTCAACTTCTGCCAATAGAGGCACACTAGGAGATTTGGTGCCATCCTTTACTGTATTGAACAAAAACATTATCATGTACCATAGTTATAAGATACCATAGTTAAAGCATATAGCACAATAAAAACTCTATAAGACCAGTAAAATAATGTAAATTTTTTGGTATAATCTACACAAGCAAGCATATAAATAGTCTCAAGAAAATCATGTTATGCATGTACTCACATTTAACATTCTGACTATTTGCATTGAAGCTATCCTCTTCCTCTGGAAGCTCCGAATCATTATCTGATATAAACTTGAGTCCTGAATACCTGATGTGAGGCAATTCTAGAGGCTCATCAGTTTTTGATGTTGCAAATGGAAAAGCACGTGGTGAAGGAGTTGGGGCTCGTGCAAATGATTCTGAATGCTTAACTTTCGCATTGGAAGACTTAACCTTCAATGGTTCCCCACAGCATGAACACCTTTGATTACTGCTTGTATCAACATGCATGATCCCATCATCCTTCAAACTCAGTTGAATTGGTTGGCCATCCTCAACAAAGCATTCAAGATCCTTATGTAGAATCCCCACAAGAGATTTATATGTGTCACAATCTGATTCCTTCTCGGTTGCAAATGAAAGCAAGCATGCCTCACACATCTTCCTTATGTCAGATAGCTTCTTGTGATTGTGACAAAACGCCAGAGATGACATGTCTTTCTTGTGAGCCTCACATACAGACTCGTTGTAATAAAAATCAGGGTTTCTGTGAACCATTACATGATCAAACCTGGTGCATAGCCAGCACGGGATTTCCAATTCAAAGAACCTTGCAAACTCATTGGCAATAAACGCGAGAAACCCATCAAGGAAAAGTATGATTATCAACAACCATTCAAGTAGTACATAGATCACAAAGTGTGGGAACTTTCCCATTTCTTGCTCAACAAAACGAGAAAATGATCGACTAGCCATGTTGGGTTTTTTTTTCCCTCTTTGTTATTTGTTGTTGTCCTCAATGAGGGTGTAGATTGAGGAAGAAAAAGAAGAAGAAAAAAAAAACAAAAAAGATAAGAGGAACTCAGAATGTGGCAAGATAGAGAAAGATCATGACCTTGTTTGGGGACGAGATCATGACCTTTCTCTCTCTCTCTGTGTCTCTCTCTCACTGGGACAGGTGCAAGGAAAGGAAAAAGAGAGGATCAGAAAAGCTATGGTTTGAAAAACAAGGTTTTCAGAGTTATGGATGGTGGAACTCAATTAGCCATAAATAGAAGAAACAGGTTTTTGCTGTAAAAACCGATGGAAGCTACAATTTACCTGAAATAACGGTCTATCATGCGCTCTTCTCTATTCCAATTTTATTTCCCAAAGTACAAAAACAGATACATCATCCTTTTCCAATGGAAAGCCCAGTGGAACCTTCAACAGGATTTTTCACATTACACACTGTTTTTGTAATCTAAGAGTATTAACACTTTCAAGAGATTCTTAGGTGCAAAGAAAAATTTGTTTCTTGGTGTAATTAATTTCGTACCACTTAGTTATGTGACAGATATTTAATAATTCGGACCAAGACTAAGAATTTCTGTTATACACTTTGTGTAAAATACTTAATGCACATAGTTATAACTAGTAAAGTCGCATAAATAGTTTGGCCTCCTATTCGACCAGTTTAAGAAACCAAGTTGTTATGTACTTTCCAAATGTCTACTTCATTTAGAATGTCAATTGTTGTCACATTCTATCATTTTCCTCTCTATTTGCCTTCTCTGCGCGGAGAGCTTTTATCTCTAGAACTTATTTTTTTATTTAACCATTGGAATATAATGGAGCTATAGCTCTCACAAGTTCATAATGGTTTTCTTGTAAGTACCATCATCAGTTCACCCATACCAACACCAACACCGTGAATCTTACGGAAGACCCATTGTAAGGCACGACTTGCACCTACAGTTACAGTGCCCATGCGCAAGAAAGCCGAGTAGACACAAGAAGCAAGAAATGAGAAACACTACTATACCTAATACCCTCCTAAAAGATAATCATATACACGCACAGATGTGAGAGAGAGTATGATTTACGATATATAATTACAATGCTTCAATGTTGTAATCATTACGTCGCTTAATCATATTTTGTTGATATTATAGAGATTTAAATATAAATGAAGGAATAATTGACAGAATAACAAACAGAACAATATTATATACTGACGTGACATGTATAATACAAAAGACATTTAACATTAATTCCCTATTTATAATAAGTTGGAGACCATAAAATAAGAAAATAAATAATGAAATATACAGAAATAATAAATTTTAAGATATAATTTTAATATTATATAATATTTTTCTAGATATTATCATTTTTTTTTCTTTTTCAGTCTAATTAAATTCCATAGCTTCCCATAGTTACATCCAAATGTACAACTCAATCCACTTTCTCTGTTGTATTCTTCCATAGCTCTCTCGAGCAAATTGTGTGTGTGTTGTATTCTTCCATAGCTATCTCAAGAGCAAATTAGCAAATTGTGTGTGTGTTGTATTCTTCCATAGCTCTCTCAAGAGCAAATTGTATATGTTCAGTCACTAAATATATATAAGATTTTATCCAATTATCGTATTATAACTATATATTTTGGAAAATACATAGTTATAATATTGTTAAAGTTGATTTTTTTTTCTCTCTTCATATATATATATATATATTTCAACGGTAAAAATGCAATACTACGAGACTTCAGGGGATACTTGATAAAAGAATTTTTTTTAAAATTTTGGAAAAGTGAAATTGGGAATTTGATTTATCCACGTTTGGCAAGAGGATTGTAAAAAAGTTTCCGAGAAAATCAAATTATCATAATTCCAATTTGTGAAGCATAATCCCTTGTAAAAATACCACACATGAGGGGTGATATTTTGAGATTCACATATGGTGGGAATATTTAGGACAATTTTTATGACGAAATTAACCATCTTTTCATCTTTCGTTCCTCTCTCTTTGTTCATTGTCTTCTCTCTCTCTTTGATGCTACACAAAATGCAAACGGTTTGGAAGTCATTAACAAAAGCTATGGTCTCTCTTCTATTTACTCTCCCCAGCTTGAATTGCAGCTCCTCCTTTCGGCTGACAGACTCGATCCTAAAGTTCTCCCTCTCCAATCATATTTTATTTGTTGTTCTATCTTTTTTTATTTTTCTGCTTTTGTTTCTGTTTGTTGGAAGGTGGGGTTATTTTTGTAAAATTACCTCACATTTTCAGTAATATTTGACAATCGACCAAACACAACATCAGTAGAATTTACTCAACATTCTCGAAAATATTTTGACCTACCAAACAATTTTTAATATTTTCAGAAAAGTCATTTTTTCACCGTATTCCTAGAAATAGTGATTTCTTTGATAAAAAAAAAATTTCCTCTAGCCGTAGGAAAATAATTGAAAAGTTGAAATTACCATACTACTCCAACAATCAGAAGCATCTATATTTTCCTTGCACCAGAGCAAGAGCCTAATGATGTCAGCGTAGCCACTCAGGCAATGACATGGAGAGCAGTTCGGACCTTTGGTAGTCAAGGTCAATACTATTGATGTTAAACATTCTCCTTCAACAAATGCTCAATCCCCTTCATATCTCCCCCAAAGCAACCGCTACTGCCTTAACCTGAATCAGACGTTGTCCCAACCAGAGGGAAAAAAAGTATTGTAGACATTGGAGTGTTTACGGTTTGTAATGGGGTAGTTTATACATTAAATTATCTAAATTCAATGATTCCCACTCACAAATATCTATTAAGTTTAATGTATCAAAGATCTTTCCTGGGTAAACTTAAAACAATTCAGTGCTTATACCAAACAACTAATAAAATCATAATGTATAATATTAAGCATGCGAAACTAGATCTAAAAGTATTATAGACTCTGCCTGCAAAAAAAAATGTACCTACTGGGAATAGGCTAGAACAAAAAAGAGCAATGTTCTAAAATTGAACCAGATCAATTAAGTTATTTTTCCTTTCCAATTGATTCCTGTGTTTATCCAAGATAAACATAGAGACTCAGAGAGTTTACAAGGCCAAAAATGTTCATTGTACACTTAGTTTTTTACATTTCGCTTTTACACCTAATATCTCAGAAAAAAGAAACAATTGATAACATAAAAACAAACAACAAACCACACATCACCTCACTTTCCCCAGTCACTTTCTCTCCCCTCTTTTCCGCTATAAAAGTTATGTGCAAAAGGAAATCGCACAAAAAGTACAGGGATAATATTCTTGCTCGCGAGGCTCCCACCAGAACAGATATGCAACCCTACCCATGTGAGCGGAGGTAGTAACTTCAACTATCAAACCAAGGCTGACCCAATTTACCTAAGATATATAATGTTATAGTCATGTATCTGATAAAAAACAATTTTTCGTTTCACTCATCACTTCAGCTATTATTCTAAAATCAACACTTAAAACTTTATTATTCTCTGCACACAACCTTAAATTAATAGCCATATTCTTCAAATGACATTTGCCAGACTTGCCAACCAAATGACATCTTTCCAACTACGTCCCTTTCTTCTTGACTGGTCTGCAAGCAACGGATGCATCAATCGATCATTAAAATAATACATAGCCGAAGCTTGAAGGGGATTAAACACTGCCAGTTGTCGTGAGCATAATTTTAATGCAACAGAGCCACAGATGTAGCTATATAGAAATAACCAGAAACAAAATTACCAATTTTTTTTTAAATATTAGAATTGGATAAATAGCTTGTAAGTTATATCCAAGACATTTTTTCAGTAAGAGAAAATATTAATAGAACAGCTAGGAATCAACCCAATTTTGTCATTCCAATATTTAATTAGAGAAACAAATCTACATCCTCTTCTTCCTAAAATTTTGTTAGAGTTTCATAATAGAAAAAATATATACATATACTCTGAAGAATATCTAAATTGAAATCCATGTGCTTCTAACATTGAAAGAAAGCACCTATAATAACTATATGGAGTTGGCTACTACTATAATGGTCGTCTTTCCCAACTCAAGAAAATAACTAGCTTCAAGTCAAAGCATTTGCTGAAATGTAAGGTGATACACATCCCTGGACCTGAAAAAAAGTCATTATTTTATGAGAAGAAACACGCATTCATTAATAATGATATCGTGAAACAGAAACAAAAATAACAATAACAAATCAAGAAGAAACATTGCATTGAAGTTCTGAAACATGTGTCCCAAGGAAATAAACTGAAAATATTATTGATGGATGTGATGTGTTACAATGTCTTAATGTAATACTCATATTCATACTAATAATCAGATTAAGTACTAGTACTCCTAGCATAAGCCCAAGCTAACTATCAAGAAGACTAAAACCTATTAAAATAAGGAAACAGATCTAGAAAGGTATAATAAGATAATTTAAATAAATCTTCAACAAGAATAAAAGATTCTCTAGAATTATGAAGGAGCAGATAGCACCCAGTCCAAGCCACAGCCCCATGACAAAAAGACGGGAAATTATAGATTCCTTTTCTCTCCCTCTCCCTCTCTCTAACACACACACGCGCACATATATATGGTAACAATCCTTTTCTAATATTTAACAAAACACATTTTAACAACTAATCATCAAAGCAGTAAGACAACAAGGTTACACTTTGACAAAGTGTCTTTTGTTTCTATAAAATTATGTCAAGAAGAAAATAATATAGCATAAAACAATCACTTACCTGCAATAAACAAGTAGGAATTTGGATATAACCCTGTAGCAAAAGGTTGACTTTTTCCAGAGAACTATGCGGCACAGGTGTAATCACATAGAGCACACGTTTGACTGTGTCAATGCCCCTCACAATCCCTTAATCAAAAGAATTCAAAATGTTTTTAACAGTGAAGATGTATGGAATTATCCAAATGAATAACAACTACGAGACTAAACATCTATATGATCTGTGGTTATTGTTAAACGAAACAATTCCAAGTTATCAAAAAAAATAAAAAATAAATAAACAAAAAATAGTTCCAGAGGAATATCACTTTTTTAATTCTTTATCTTTTGTATTTGCGGAAGTATTATAGCCTAAATAGGTGAGAGATCCCTTAAGATATATCACACTTGAGATGTTATTGCAAAGTTAAGAGACGCGTGTTATGACCAACAGAATATGGGATCTAGTGAAAAGCTAAGCCAAATTACCTACCAAGACCAAGACACCAAGGTAAATTTCCAGGTCCTTCTGAATCAACTGCTAAGCCAACAATGCTAGCATTCAAACTGTAGAATATTTCAGAGCTTGGGACCTACAAAAATATGGTTAGACCATTAAAAAAAAGTCCTTCTCATATATAAAAAATATAGTTGAAATTCCTAGCAAGAAAACAATTTTTTTATAAAATTTGTGTTTATATTAAAAAGATTTAAAATTCAAAGTGGGATTGGAATTGAAATAGATCAAATGCATCAAAACAGAACATGTAAAGGGCAGCTCAGTCATGAAACTCCACCATTGTAGGGCTTGTAAGTGTTAGATGTACGCAACTTTATATTCAGAGTGAAGAGGCTGTTTCCGCAACTACTACCTGTGACCATCATCAAGTCACAAGGCAGCAACCATACTGTTGCACCAAGGTGAAACTCAGAGAGATAATAAGTAAAATTTGAACCAACCTCACAATGAAGATGTTGAATCTTTATGCTTGTAATTGGAACTTCATAAGGACAATGAGAGGCCAAAGAGTGTGCAAGTTCCTTGATTGTAGAAATATTTGAATCACTAGAAAAGCATTGTCTGAAATAAGCCATTATTCGTAAATCACGCAGGAGACATGCATCCTTCTGAACAAGCACCCTGGGAAAACAAATAGGTATATTCTATGATACTTGATGCATAAAAATTGAAAAATAAAGGGACCAAACTAGCATCTTCAATTGATAACTTTCTGATTAAATTTGGGCTTACGATCTATTTAATGAGTCTTGACGAGCTGAATTTATCTCAATTAAGTTAACTGTTCCTTCATGTTCCCCATCTAACCAGAATTCACCAGCAGGTAAATTCTTACTTTCAGTGGATATGCTTATCTTAACTACATTTGTTGGACGAATATATTTCAACATGTCCACTAATACATCATAACCAACACCTGAGATGCAAGGGAAATGAAGAATCCATTGAATGAATACCATAACAGATGATATATTATAATATTCTAGGAAAGCAGTAGTCTTTGTGCAGTAAAAATACAAATGCAGGATTAAAAATAATCAGATTAATAACTGCAAAAGAAGTGAGCTTACCTTTCACCCAGCCAGGAGTATTCACAATAAGAGGCAACTCAATCCTAATTGGATTTTCTCCCTTATCAAGGGTGCAATACTTCTTTCGGTAATAATCATATATAGCAAACACGTAATTTAAGTATGCTGATGGATCTCTCTTAGAAGAAACATCACCAAAGAAAAGGCACCTGTTGCATAACAAATGACAAATAGTGAGTCAAACAAGTCCATCACATGTTCATTCAAATAATACATAGATTGGTTGACACTTGCATAATTGAATAGATCCAACAGACAGACAATAAATACCATCCACCTCATTGTCTAAAAAAAAAACTTCATAACAATGAAAGGGAAACACCCACACACACACACACACACACACCCCAAAAAAAAAAAAATTAAAAACAGAGAGAGAAGAATGCCTAGGACATTTGACTCCTACAGCATCTTCAGAAAATGGAACAACCATGTAAGGAAGAAGATCATATGAAAAAGGTCATAATATATAATATTTGCTGATAAAAAGTTATCTGATGTTCAGACAGCTACACTTAATCTGGAAAGCATGCAATACACTTCCCCAATAGTAATCATCTTAACCTAACTAACAAATGAAGAATTCAATTTATTTGACCACTGAATAGATTATATATGCCATCACAAGCAGAGGCCTAGTTAAATATTTCAAGTTAAAAACAACATAACAAAATCCAAGAAAGAAAGGTTCAGTTCCCAAATTATTAAGAGATAGCATTTACCTTTCTGGTGTTTTCAGGCACGGAATTGTCAAATCTAAAATAGTTACAAAAAAAGATGAAAGAAAGAAACATAAATAACTCTGGAATAAATATAAAATAATTTTTTTTATGTAAAAATTATGATAGGGATTCATTACGATTGCCCTACCTGGAGTTACTTTGTCAACAACGGTTAGTGATAGACAACCAGGAGGAGTAAACTCTGGTTGCCCAACATCAGTATCAAAATAAGCTACTTTCTTGTATGTGGGCAAGAGGACATTTAGGAGATGGCGGGAGAAAGTTGTCTTCCCACAATTCTTGGCACCGCATATAAAAGCTATAGGGGGCATTGAACTGTACAAAATGGCATCTGCAGCCTCCGACCATTGCTTTGGGATGTATATGTCCGGTGAAGGGGAAGAACCCATCTCTCTCTCTCTCTCTGAAATTGCAAGACAGCTCTTCATTAAACAGTTTTTTAGTCGATGAGTCATGCAAATTTGCAATATTTTTGTTTTATATTGAAATGAACCACATTTACATTGCAGCACCATGAATACATTTAAAAGAAAATAGCCCTTAAATCCCAGTCAAAGACCAGTAGCAAGTCAAATAAGGTCATATACCAAAACCCAGTCCTAGAGGCCAGACACATACCTGTCACAGGAGAGGAACACCTTGCAGTCGCTAGCAGAAGGGTCGCAAGTCGCAATCGCAGGCCGCAGAAGAAGAAGAATGCTGAAGCGCAGAAGCCAAAATTGCAATAGAGAAGGGTGAGTTGGCCGTTGCAGCGTCCCAGGTATGGTCTACGAAATGAGAATTTGAGATTAAATTAATTCGGGTAGTGGGTTAATGATTGGGCAGAAAACCAACTTGAGACATTGGTACATTCAAAGTTGTTCATGTTCCTTTGCATGCTTACTACTCAAGTTCATAATTCATCTTTCATTCCTTATTTTCCCTCAGGAACTAAGGACATTGGTACATTCAAAGATCATGCCTAATGATATCATGATGATCCAATTTTTATTGATCAGTCAGACCATAAATCAAACCAAATTCAAATGAAAAAAAAAAATGGATTTCGGTTAAAATTACATTCAAGTAAGCCCTAACAATTCATTATTATCTACATATTTATGAATGAGAACAATGGAATAATATAATAAATGATGTGCGGATTCAACAAGTAGAACAAAATCTCCATATTTCAAAGAAATTTAACATAAAAGACCCTAACTCACATTGTCAAATCAAACTTTGATGACGAGGACGACAGCACCGGCGTGAACGCTGCCACCAGCCGCAAGGAAAAAGGGAGAACAACGAAGACAGAGATGAGATGGTATGGAGGTAGAAGATGATAACAAATCTGCAATCTTTTCTTTGATGAAATTTGCCAAATCACGAACCATATGATAAGTTATTCTGCCACCAATTTCATAACAAATACGTGAACCCCTTTCAAGTCGTTAATCATTTAACTGGTGTGCGTGCTGTGTGCTCATGTAATTGGTGTGCTCTCTGGTTAAGGAAGTAAACCCTAAACCCTGAAACTTTTGAGTGGGGGTTATATAAAAGGGATAAATATTTCTGATGTTTAATTAAATAATTTTAGCTTTTATATATTTATAAAAGTGTGTGAAGAGAAAAATAAAATATAGGTCATATATATATATATATATATATATATATATATAGAGGCAGGATATTCTTACACCAGTGTAAGAGTTAGAAGTCTTACACTCAATCTTGACCATTGATCCACTTGTATCAATTATCTCTTATATTATAAGTAACATTAATCTCTATATAAAATAAAATTAAAATATAAAATTAAATATCTACTTTCATATTTAAATTAGTAGTTTTAAGAAAAACTTAAATAAAAACTTTTGGTTAAAATTTTTTAAGTATGAAATCAGTCTTATAAAGTATAACAAAGAGATTCATATTTAAGATTTAATAATTATGTAACTTTATTTTATTATTTATAATACTAATTAGATGAACTTTTTAACTTAATGTGCATATAAATCATTACATTTATTTTGAAATGTCAATTGAATTTTTTCATAATATGAAAAAAAATTATAATTATTATCCTTTACCTTTTGCAAAATAGATTTCCAACTCAATCTTAATGATATTTTAATAATTTTTCTCTTAAGCTTTTAATTAAAAAAAATTAACAAAAAGTGTACTTCAACCCACTATTTTTTATTTTTCAAATTCATTATTTAATTACTTTTATTCTAAATTAGTATTATAAATTAATACAATACTTTCTAAGGTTAATTTTGTTTTCTTGAAGGCTAACCCTGATACACTGTCATTATCTTAATTAACAAAACATATTGCTGCCACATATAGGAATTGGGTAGGAATAATCAATTAGTATTTTTTTTTAAAACAGCTCTTAAGAAAAGGTTAATAATTTAGAAAACTTATTTAAAATGTAAAAAAGTTGAAAGACAAACCGGATAATTAAAAATTGGGAAAAGTATAAAAAAAATCATGTGATTTACTCCTTTATCACTTATCTCTCTTGGTTTTTTTCATCAAAGTCCATATTTAACACCATTATAATTGAACTAACTTGCTCATCTTATTGTATCCAAAAAAAAATTGTTCATCTTTTCACAATTTTGCCTACATTAAAAACACTAATCTATCATTCAAAATTTGGCCAAAATCACTAAATCATCATAAGGCACTCTTTTATGTCAAATTAACAACTTTTTATACAGGTAACATATGGATAAAATGGGCAAATTAGGTCATTTACTAAATGTTAAAAGTAGATGATATACGTCCAGCATATGATGCTTTCTAAGCTAAAAGAAACAAGGAATTAATCAATAATGGTTGAAAAATAGTCATAAATGTTATAAATAATGATTATTCCTTCTCAATCATTCTCTCACTCAATTTATGCAGCTTAATAGCAGGAAACACCAAAAATGAAGTGAAGGAGAGAAGTTGAAGTTGCTGAGTATGGTGCAAATCGCGCCATTTGATCCAATAGTGCTTCTGCCAATTTCCAAAAAGTTGGCGCGATCCTGCGCCATAGTGGCGCGAGTCCGCGCCAGTTTACGGGAAGCTAACTTCGTGTCTTGAAGTTTGGCGCGATCATGCGCCATAGTGGCGTGAGTCTGCGCCAGTGTGTGGGAAAACCTGTCCCCATGCTTTGAAGGGCAGTTTTGGAAAACGCGCAAGAGCACGAAAAAGAGGTGGAAACGCCTGCAAGTGAGAAAGAAGAGCCTGCAAAGCAAGAAAAAGAAGAGGCAAAGGAGAAATCTGTTGAAGCTCCAAAGAAACTTATGGATTATTCTGGTTTTGAGAAACCTCCTTATCCTATGAAGCTCAAGCAACAAGCACAGAAGCAACAATATGTCAGGTTTTAGATATGTTTAAAAAGTTGCATATCAATATTCTTTTTGCTGAGGCTTTAGAAAATATGCCTAACTATGCTAAATTCATGAAAGATTTATTGTCTAGAAAGCATAAGTTGCAGGATTGTGAGACAGTAGCTGTAAGAACCCGCACCGTTAATTAAGGTATTTAATTAATTAATTATGCAAAATTAGGAAATGATCCCATAATTGACCCTAATAATTATTGTGAGGCTTTAATAATTATAGTAAGTGGGTAATATTGCTGAAAGTCTCTTTTCGGAAGAAAAGTGCAGATACCGGTTCTGCTAGTCGGTATAAATGCGTATCGAAAATGTATCCCAGAAAATTAAAGTAAGTGCATGTTAATTACTAGAATAATATGTAGGACTTGTAAAACAAGTTTCAAGTCCAGATAATTAGAACTGGTGCTGGAAACCGGTACTGGCTTTGAAAAGCGCGTACCGAAAAGGTGCTCAGAAAATTATAAGAAAAATATGATAAATTTTAGAAAATTATGTAGTTTCATAATCCAAACTTTGGGATTAAAATGCTAAGCGTAGCAATTAAAGTTAATATTGTGTGTTTAATTGTTAAACCACTATTTAAGCCTTAGTGGGCACTAAACCCTAGGCCATATTACATTCTCTACGTGAGTGTGTGAGGGTGGCTGATCAGCTTGGCTGCTCCTTGGGGTTTCTTCTCCATTTTGGGTCCAAGACACTTCCTTTCTTGATTTTCTTCACCTCCAAACACTTGAGCCTTGTGTGAGTGGCCTTGTGAGTGTGTAGAGAGCTGGTGTTATGAGTTGAGAGGCTGTTGGGAGTCAGCTTTGAGGGCTGAGTTGGAGAGTTGAGTTGTGGGAACCTTGGAGTTGGCTTGTGTAAGCTTCAAGGTGTGTTCTTTGTGGAGAAAGGACCAACCTTCAACTTACATTTTTGTGTGCAGAGAGAGGCAGAACCTTGGAGTGACCTTTTGAGCTCCAAGAGCACCTCTTGTTGGCTGATTGAGCTTTGGTAAGCCTTGTCACATTTGGTCTTGAGTCTTTGAACTTAAAAATGAAAGCTTGATGCATGTTAAGGCTTAAAGATGATAACTTGTTGTTGGGTAATGTTGAACACACCTAGAAATGCATGTTTAGGTGCTTTAAATCGTTAAAAACTCAACCTTGGAAGGATATCTTCACGAAATGCATTTTCTGCATTCTGTCGTGAAATATCCGGATATGTGCCCGATGAATATCCGGATATGTGATATCCGGATATGGGTTTTGAGTATCCGGATATTAGATATTCGGATATGGGATTCTGGATATCCGGATATTGCATATCCGGATATAGTCCCGAGGAATATCCGGATATTCTGGGATTTCGAAGAACTGTAGCTGTGCTGTGAGGACAGTAGGCTATTGGGGGTTTGTGGACCCTAGATTGATGAAGTTGAACTTCTGCTTTAATTAAACTAAGTCAGAATCAAGTGATTAAGGACTTATGACTTGGTATGGAGCCTTAAGACGTTAAACGTATGGAAAGGCGTTGTCTTAATATTGTATGCTTGTGGTGTATGTTGTTGATGTATTGTTGGTCCATAACAGATTGTGAATCTGCTGTGTTTGGACTTTGAGCTGTGGACTCTTGGCTTTTGGAGTTAGCTTGCAAGGTAAGCTTTCGTGTCCTCGGTTTAGCCATGTTGTGGTTCCACCATGTCCCATGGGTGTATGGTTTATGCATGCTGTGTACATGCTTTTGGATATTTGATATGTTGATTGAACTTTACATGTAATGGCTTTTAATATGCATGTGTTGTTTCATCTTGACGGGAAGCCTGAGTATGTAGCGCCATACAAGACGGTGTACCGGGGTGAATGCAAGTGGTACTTGCACGGTGTGTAGGTGATAGACGTATACCTGCACTGTCTCTGGCCAGTAGATTAGAATTGACACACATGGCATGATTATCTGCTGCATTGCATTGTTTTAGAAATGATAAATGATAAACTGCTTTTGAACTTATATTGCACATGTAAGTGAGCTTGGGGTGGAAGATCCTTGAGGACTCACTGACTTACTGAGATTTCTATATTAGAGATCTTACCCCACGTTTGGGGAATGCTTATTTCAGGATCAAGTAGTATGGGTACTGATGTCTCAGGCGGCAGGAGGCCGGAGCTTAACTGATTATGTTTTACTGCTTATGTTAGCATGACTGGATTTGGATGCTATTTATGTTTTCCGCTATTTATGATATGTTGTTGTTGAGACTGATGTTGGGCATGTTGCCTTATTTGAGTGAGCATGGGGATTATCCATGACACTTTCTGTTAGTACTTTTAGATTGGAGTGTATAAACTGTTAGATGGTCCGGTCTACAATGTTGTAGTTCCGTGACTAGAGCCACACTTATATTATCTATGTTATGAGGTATTTCAGTTAGCTGTTTTATTGCAATTACATACAGGCGATGTTTTATTAATTGATTATTAAGCAAGTTGGTAATGTTAATGGCATCATAATTGAAAAGAAAAAGTAATTCCGCAATTTTAATTAAGCGCAGCTTAATACGATATTATGATAACATTACCGGATATATACGGGGTGTTACAGTAGCACTTATTGAGGAGTGCAGTGCCATTATACAGAAGAAGTTTCCCCAAAAGCTTCGAGATTCTGGGAGTTTCAACATCCCAATTGCGATAGGCAACACTAACGTTGGCCGAGCACTTTGTGATCTGGGAGCAAGCATCAACTTGATGCCATTATCAATATGCAAATCATTGGGAATTTTCGAGCTGAAACTAACCATGGTCTCTTTACAACTTGTTGACCGTTCGTTAAGGAAACCTAATGGAGTCATAGAGGATGTCCTTGTCAAAGTTGACAAGTTCATCTTCCTGGCTGATTTCATTGTGTCGGATATGGAGGAGGAGAGTGAGATGCCTTTTATGTTGGGAAGGCCATTCTTGGCCACACCTCGAGCTATGATTGATGTAGAACAAGGAAAGCTCGAATTAGGGATGAATGATAAGACAACTACTATCAATGTGTTTGATGCTATGAAGAACTCATCTGATCAGAGTGATTGCTTCAGACTTGATGTATTTGAAGAAGTAGTCAA